CACTTTCCATCTTTTTGCAAATGATTGACTCAGTTTCCACTTAATTCTAATCAGTAATTTAGTCTTAATCATGCAGTCTGTTTTTGGTTTGGCTGTTGACATCCCACGTGACCCGAAATGGTAAAAAGTTGTGCCGGTGTGTGAATTAGTAGGTAGTATAGACTTGAAACTAAAGCTAGTCAGTTATGCAGTCTTCAGTAGCAAGACAGACTGCATTATGTGCTACATAAGTACATGGCCTTAATGAGGCTGAGTTCAAGTTTCTGAATGTCTCTTTGTAATTTGAGAGGCTGACAAATCTGTGCTGAGAGAGAATGTAGGCCAAGCCAGCCTTTGTTTGTTGCCTTTCTGTAACAAAGCCAAGTGTTTTTGAATTTGTTCATTTGTGCAAAGATACTCTGAAAGTTTAGAATGGAACACCCTCTTTTTATTGAACAGTGTGTTCACCTCTGTTGTGGCGGGTTTGTGCCAACACTGGGCCGATCCTAGAGGATCATTTATGTCATCACCTAATGTTCCCTTGCCCACTTTTGTAGGACTACAACTAATGATTATGTTATTGATTGACTTATCTGAAGATTAATCTCATAGCCTTCAATTCTTCAGAAAACAGCATACAGCACGTGGTTGCATCGTTAAATGTGTAGCAAGACAGACCTATTGATTAATTAAATAATCATTACAGTTCGATTTTTTTTTTTCATTGACAGTGTCATAGCCTGTTGGATATCAACTTAACGGTTCTATCAAATGGATAATATTCACACAGTACTGTGTATGAACTCACCTTCCAATTATACCATTACTCAGTACACTGAAAATTTCACAAAGAAAAGTTCACCAAATCATTTTTGGTGGCTCTCAGTGGTAGTGGTAGTGGTAGTGACTTATGAGAAGTCACTGTGAAAAAATGTTTGAGGTTTGTAAATCTGGGGTTTGTCTGATACAGCTGATAGACAGTTCAGACCCCCATTCATTTCAGAGCCTGAACTGAGAACTTGCTAAGACTAAAGTACTCTACATGACAGAGCTGTTCGAACTCTAATGTGGTTATGTAATTTTATTCATGCAGCTACTAAAGACAGATTTAAATGGAATTTAAGCGTTGTTTCAAGCCAAATTATGACCATATGATGAAATGAATGTTTCCAATTTGCACGACAATCTAACAATCTGGTTAATCTGTATTTGTCCCCTTCATCTTCTTGCTTGTACGTTCTCCATCTCTTCCATCACTTCTTATTGATTTGGATTTATCCAACCTTCTCTCCTCATTCATCTGCATGGAACATGGGCTTAAAATTTCCATAAAACTTCCATCACACACTCTCTGTGTATCTCCCTGTTTGCCTCTTGCCACTTTACAACCTGCTTTTCTTTTCTGTGCGCCCCTGTCCTGCATGGCCTAGATGTGTGCACCCCAGCAGGCCAGAGCCCTTGGATCTCCATCTGGGTATGTTCCTGCCCACACTGCTCAACCAAGCCACCCCAGAGCAAATGGACCGTTTCTTCATGCCTGCCTGGAACCTAAACATCATCGGCACCTACGCTCAGACTGAGATGGGCCACGGTAAAATAAACAGGGCAGTCCTTCTGTAGGCCTGTTTCCTACAGAAGGCCGTGCTTTTAGATTGAATCTACAGTGATTATTTGGTTGATTTGTCATTGCTATTCCTGATAAACCTTAAAATTGTGCAGTAATGAGGATGTCTGGATAGGTTGTCTGTGAAAGCAGATTGGTGCTACACTTTTAGGATAGTGGATACTAACATATTTAGCACTTTATTTTTCCAAATATGTATTTGTACTAAACATCTATTAGTAATTATCTGAAAAGGTTTATTGTTTGTCTAACATGGAAGTGTTTAAAACACTTCCATGTTAGACTGGTCCATGATCCTAAATGTATAGGAAATCAGTAAATTCATTCAGGGAAAGTTACATGAGTGGACAGAGAGGCTGTAAACAACAGTTCATGTGATTCTGCTTTTGAAATGATGTCCAAGCCTCTGGAATGTAGTCAGTCACTAGCGTTGTGCTCACTCATCGCCATCCTGCATCAGCTAGCAATCTTCTGTTTTTCTTACCAGTGTTTTTAATCTGTTTTTCACAGAAAATTTTCCTTTATTAACCATTTTATGTTGTTTTTACAGGAAATGTTTGTTTTTGCATGGGTTGGGATCTGTTTGTGGCTGTTAACCAGTATGGCAACATACATTCCAGCTGGAATAGTCCATTCAGACTGGGAACTGGCTATTAAACTCACCATATGCACCCCTCTGTGGACCTGTAATATATTGCATTAGTATTAATAATATTTAAATCGGATGCAAATTCAGTCTGTCAAATAAATGTGGCATGCCATAGTTACAGGATGAATTGAATCATCTTCAAATGTGTTACTTTTTTTTTTTTTTTTTTACATATTTTTTAGATCTGCCAAACACCTACATGATGCACCGCTTTGTTTCTTTATGTTGGAATTCTTTGAAGTGCCTTCATCAATTTTATTTCTAATTGAAAAGATTTAGAATGCCTATTATTACATATTTGAAATTCCGAAGGGCTATATGTGCTTCCTGTTCATTGTCCTATTTAATGTTATGAGATTTAGTTTATTATATTCTATATGATTAATTAATTAGTCCTCATGTCATTTTAATGCTAGTGGTTAGATTTGCAGTTAAGAATGGAAGTAATAAACATGCTCAACAGATTATTGTCTCTCTACTATTGCTGCATAATCATTTTTGCATTTCCACTATGTACTTTATGTACTTTGTATGTGTGTGTTCTGTGTTTGGTGAGCATTGATGTGGCATCTTTCTCTAGGAACGCACCTCAGAGGGCTGGAGACCACCGCCACATATGACCCAGCCACGCAGGAGTTTGTCTTGAACAGTCCTACATTCAGCTCCATCAAATGGTGGCCTGGAGGACGTAAGTACTTTCACACTGTTATGTGACCAGACAGTTATTTTGCAGTCTGGTTTTTGCACAGTATCAGAATTCTTGTGAGTGGGAATAAGGAATTTGATGATGAATAAGATTTTGTGATGTAATTTAAAAAAAAAAATTTTTTTTTCTTGTTTTTCTTTCAAGCTGATGAATATTCAGTCTAAACTAGTCTCTCTCTTTTTGTCTGTAGTTGGAAAAACTTCAAACTGTGCCATAGTTATAGCCCAGCTATATACTCAGGGAAACTGCCATGGTCTGCATGCTTTCATCGTCCCCATCCGTGACTTCAACACCCACGAACCCCTGCCAGGTAATCATCTGAGATGTCTCTCTAAATCTGGTGTTTTCTTGTTAGGCCAGGCTTCATTTTCCTGTGTCTTATTTTTCACACTCTTGTTTATGCCCTTTTTCTCTCTCTCTCTCTCTCTCTCTCTCTCCCTCTCTCTCTTAGGTATTGTGGTTGGTGATATTGGCCCCAAGTTTGGTTACAGTGAAGTTGACAATGGCTTCCTCAAACTAGAGAACATACGAATCCCACGGGAGAATATGCTGATGAAACACGCCACGGTGATTTGAAATTATTTGAATAGAGTACTGTAAAACAAAATTGGTTCCACTGAGGTCAGTTAGATTTAACAAACATTTTAAGTTGATTAGATAGTTTTCTGAGGTTTGGTCTTCTCTTGTGAAAGGAGTGCTCTTGCTCTTATTACACCCATACCTACACCAAAAGGTAGCTGGTGGTTCTGTTTATGCCACTGCCTGTCTGTCTCGTACTGTGTGTAATTCATGCTGCTTTTTGCAGATCCTTTTATAGTTAAGTGAAGAACTGCACTGCTGTGTTTTGTTTACCAATTTGAAAGGATTGTTGCATTGCATTCACAAGCTATTTTGTCAGAAACAGTATTCATCAGTATCCTTTTTTTTTTCCAACCTTGCAGCTCAGATTCATTAAATTATGCAAATGTTTTAATCAGTAAATGTTGTGTATAGGAGATATCGCTTACCTTTGCCCACTTTGTACAAAAGTCAAGAAGTATTATTTATTTGACTTTTCCTTTGCTAAAAAAATCTAATGGTTTGTTGGTCTTAAAATATCTCGCTTTGATTGTGTCAGAATGTTTTAACCTCATCTTCCTGAAGATTAAGTAGTTCTGAGTACATATACAATATATTAATTTTATGTATATGCTGTTAGAATAACTTTGTCCGTCCACTAGGTGGAGCCAGATGGAACCTATGTGAAGCCACCAAGTTCCAAACTGACCTATGGCACTATGGTGTTCATCCGCTCCTTGATCGTTGGCAATTCAGCTTTGTTCCTCGCTAAGTCTTGCACCATCGCCATCCGCTACAGTGCTGTCCGTCATCAGTCTGATTTTCGGCCAGGGTCAGTCAGTAAAAAAAAAAAAAAAAGCTACAGAAATGTTGCTATACTCATAAAAGTGAATGAATGAATGAGAACAAATACATGCTCAATGCCAAGCATGCCCCATGTAGAAGCACATTTATGTGAGGAATTTTGTCCAAACAAAAATGATTGCATTCAACTGAATTGTAGACTTGTTCCTAAATGTCTTTAGCAAGAAAATGCAAATTTGTTTATTTTATGTATGTTTGCACAGATATATGGGAATGATACATATGTCAGTTTTTTTTTTTATTCGACCTTTATTTCATAAGGGAAAAATCCTCTTGGGGTGAAGATCCTCTTTTACGAGGGAGCCCTGGCAAGATAGCAACATAAAACGTTACAGACAAGTAAATGATAATACAAAGACCAAATTATAAGTCACCAAAAAGCTACTAAAATAGTAAAAATATAACCATAACACATAATTGGTAATCTATAATGGCATTCAGCATGTGAAATTCATCACAGGCTTACTGTTTACTGTCGTAAGTTCAGAAATGGACATGTCCTCTAATGTCAACAGTAAATGGAAAAAGCACTGGTATAGAAATGATTTGCTCACTTACCACATCCTCATGTATCAAATGAAAGTACAAGCTTTTATGAGATACTGAGAAACCTGTGTGTTTCTGCCCTGCAGAGAGCCGGAGCCCCAGATCCTCGACTACCAGACACAGCAGTACAAGCTTTTCCCTCTACTGGCTATGGCCTATGCCTTCGCTTTTGTTGGCCAGTATATGAACGACACCTACAACCGCATCACTGGAGACATCAACCAAGGGGACTTCACTGAAATGCCTGAGGTACTGGCCAGAAATGCACGTGTAGGATGTAATGTGGGCTTAATGATAGCTTAGTGTCTGAGGATGGTGCATATTCACTGACAAGGTGAGATTAGTCTGTCTTTACAAATGTTTTTGGGCACGTGTTGCAGATAAGTATGTGCTACAAACAATCACCTATTTAATCATTGAAGCTCCAGATATTTCTTTTTACTGATATCAGTGCCAGCTTGGTCAATCAGTGCAAAATATGACACAGTCTTCAAGTAGTTACTTTCCTACATACTGACTACACTATGCTTTGATCCCTCTGTCTGGCTGGTTGATCAGCTGTCTTCCAGAATATACTCTGTCTCCTATTGCTGGCAGCATCACTTTATGTTAGTTAAGAGCTGGATTTTTTTTTTTATTAATTTGCAACATATACTCCTATATGATGAACATGTCATCACCACTTCCCTCCACTATTCAAAAGTGAAGTCAAAATATTGTGAATACGGCGGCCACCATCTTGCTTTTTTGCAACCAGATTCTGTGCCACGGCGGACCGGAAGTTGAGTGACAGCATCCGACTGTCAATTAAAGCTGTCGTATCAACTGAAATACACCCCTTTTTGTATCATCAAATAACTTATTAAAAACAAACTTAACAGAATGATCACTTGTGATCACATCATAATATCTACCAAAAACTACAGAAATCACCTATAGGAAAACTTGATTTGATTTGTACTTAGTTTTTAGTTTGGCTCACGTCCCATCCACTAACATGGAGGAAGCAGGATTTATGACCTAGTCTACAAGCAGTCACTTATGGTGCCTTATGGTCACTCCTGGGAGCTGTCAGCCTGTCCATCATTTTCATATTCAATGATTTGCTGTTTAAATGTATAATTTATTTTATTAACTACCTTATGCACTGAGCAGCAGTTTTATTAGTATACCTGTAAAGTCTAGTGCAGTCAACTTTCATGATGCCTGTAATGTTCAATTTTTAACTCTGTCTTAAAAGGTGGTAACTAAATTATATATTTAATTTATGTTTTACATCATTGCAATTAGGGGTCTGTACTGGACAGCATTAGACTGTTAAGAGGTGTTTCTTCCTCCTCATGTATGGAAACAGGGAAGACAAAAAGAACCCTTTCAGAATTTGTGACAGAAATAAACAGCAACTTATACAGGACACAGTTACAAGTGCACCTAATAAAATGGCCGCTTGAGGGTGTAAAGAAACATACTGACCTTTTGTGCATTGTTACACAGTGTTGGGAGTAACTAATTACTGTAATTAAATTACAAAATGAATACGTATAACTGTTATCAGTTACTGAGTAAAAATATGTAAATCAATTATAGATACTAATCAAAATGTCTGTGGCTACATCTGACTATATTCTGTTGGGTAAAAAGCTTAAAATAAAAGTTTAGCATTTTCATCTTTTTACCATACAGGAGCACCTTCTTTTGGCATATTTCCAGATAAAGTGTGTCAGCGAAGCCACTAGGACACATAACGAGTTCATGGGTAGGGTGGCTAACAAGAAACTGTCTCTACGTCCAGATAGGCTCCATTCATTTGGTAGTATGCGTTAAATATTGAGCACTGCTTTTGATTGGTTCTCTTGTTTGACTTTACTTTGATTAAGTAATTTAAATTGTTAGATTACCCTGTTAAAAATGTAATAATTAACTAGTAATCTGTAACCTATTAGATGTTGAAAATAACCTTTCCAACACTGCTGTTACACCCCTATAGCCACTGGGTGTACGGCATATCAGCATACTACAGTTCATAAGGAAGCCACAGTACATGGCCATCGCCATTGCATTCCTAGAAGTCCTACATAATCTCTGAATGCTTACTACTGACACCTATAGTACAAGTTAAAATTAGCCAATTAATCTTCTATAGTAATTCTCATTAAATGGATTTAGGCTGTACAGTATGTCATTGTGTAATTTTCAAGCGGTTTTCATCCTCTCTGCCTTCCAATTCATAGCTCCATGCACTGTCTGCTGGTCTGAAGGCTTTCACCACGTGGGCGACCAATGCTGCCATCGAGGTGTGCCGCATGTCATGTGGTGGTCATGGCTACTCTTGCAGCAGTGCCTTGCCTGACATTTATGTTGGGTTCACCCCTAGCTGCACCTACGAGGGAGAGAATACAGTCATGATGCTGCAGACTGCAAGGTTAATCATCACACAAATGTGTGCCCACAAATGTGACTACTTGCTTGCAGCCTGATACAAACACACACTAGAAATGCCTTTGCTATTGTTGCTAAGTTGTATGAGTGCTTATATAGTATAGCGGATGTTGTCATTTTACGTTGCTTTTGCTGTAAGTTGTAACACTTCATCTTATAATAACTTCAGTTTTATTCCTCCAGTTTGTGTAGGACCTCAAACAGCAGTGCTCACACAGTACACACAGAAGAATTAGCTTTTTCACCCATAATTTTTGTCACACACTTAAACAGAATGAGAGCGAGACATAGACACATGCGCCCACACAGCAGTCCCACTATACCACAAGTGCAAGTGACACACCCACACTCTTCCCAGAGCAAAAACAAACACCAGTCACATTTTATATCCCTAAATGATAGATATGTTGGTTTTAGCAGCACCAGTCATATAAAACCTGTTGGGTAATAGTTTGTCCTTTTGAAGGGATAGAGACTTGAACAGTTGTTGAAATGTTCAGTTACCTGACCTTGAAGTACACACAAACTCCAAAGATGTTGTGAATTGTGATGAAGCAATAGGCTGAAAGCCAGACTTGAATTTGGTGTCAGTAAATAAGGATTACAACATACTAGAACGGTATTGAAATATGTAGGCTCTAAAGTGAGATTGCTTTTATGCAAATCCTTCACACTAATGATAATTACAGAAGAAGAACTCAATGGGAAAAGACAGAGATACTATTTTTTTCTTACAGTAACCATTTAGATATACTTGATTTCCATGACTGTAAACGTAAATAGTTTACTGGCTAGCTTATGCACCTATGCTTAATTATTAAACCTTGATATAATGTATGTGTGTTCTTATATTTTGTCTGCAGATATCTGGTGAAGAGCTACCAGCAGGTTAAGGCCGGCAAGCAGCTGAGCGGCATTGTGTCATACCTAAATGAAGCAGAGCATTGGAGGGTGCAGCCCCAGCCCGTTGCTGCCAGACCAACAGTGGTCGACATTAATGACCTGGCTAGCCTGGTGGAGGTCTACAAACTACGAGCTGCTATGTAAGTGATAAGGGCTGTAGATGGAAAAAGTAACCTGTTTACTTGGTCAGTGTTTTTATTTTTAGTTTGATATTCTTTAATTGCTGCGGTTGTAGTAATATTTTTTTATTTTTGTAGCAGTTTGTAGCTGTAGTTGTCAATCTCTTAATAATGTTTGTTGTTATTTACTGTATTATTACTTAGTGAAGGCAAAGCTGCTTTGACCTTTCCACTCATACTCCAAGTAATGAAGCTGCTTGTGATTATAAACCTATAAGGTTTTGAATTCACTGTTTAGAAATATGGAATGGGCATCTAATAAATGCCTGCAAATATATTTTTAACTGCTCAGAATGAGGCCAGATAGAGGTTGGAATACTGTCTGCTGCTGTGAGTTTTTCCCCAAATGTCTCAGGTGTGTTATTGGCAAAAGCTGCAGCTAATCTAATCAGTGTTTGTCTGAATCTGCCATTCTCTGCTGTCGCCCATATTTCTGTCTTTGCCCTTTTATGCTATGATGCCCCGATCATATCCCTGCTGTCAACATTAGTCACATCTAAATCCATTTGGCAATCCGTGTCAGCTGTATGGGGAGCACAGACAGTGTGACAAATTGTAACCTGCCAGTTGAGATATCAGAGGGATTAAAGTCAAAGGATGACTGTGTGTTAGCTGTCATCCCATCTAATAAGACTTCCTTAAACATTTTAATATCTCCAATGTCCTCCATTGGAAAATAACGATTTGACTGATAATAGTCAATTTATGCCCACATGGGTTCTCTCTGGGTACTTCGGCTTCCTCCCACAGTCCAAAGACATGAAGCTTAGGTTGATTGGTGACTCTAAATTGCCCCCTACGAGTGAGTGTGGGTGTGTGTGGTTATCTCTGTCAGCCCTGTGATAGACTGGCGACCTGTCCAGGGTGGACCCCGCCTCTCGCCCAATGTATCTGGTATTTGCTCCAGCCACCTCCCACAACCTTATTCAGGATAAGCGATATAGATAATGAATGGATGGATGGATAGTCAATTTATGGAAAAAAACAAAAACAAATCTCATCTCATTGCATAGTAGCATTTTTAGGTTTTAGTATTTTAAGTTTGCTTTAGGTTTAGTTTAGTCACTGTTGTGTCAAAGATTAATATTTGTTGACATGGTGTTAAAGCTGCAGAAGTATTATGCATCTTTAGGCTTTTATTTAATTCATACTACTAACATTTTTGGTTAATGCAGATGATGTGTGTGTTTGTAGTCTAGTAGAGATGGCAGCTAAGAACATCCAGCAGGAGTTACAGCGCACGAAGAACCAGGAGGATGCCTGGAACAACAGCGCAATCGACCTGGTCAGAGCCTCAGATGTAAGTTCAGCTCTGTGGGTGCTTGACCCACCTTGGCATTAACCTTAGACCAGGAGTCTATGTACTACAACCCACACTATGCAGGGGCATTATATCAAAATGTGATTGAGCCAATGTAACCCTGGTTTTAGCATCAAGGCATTCAGGATCAGTAGATAGTTTAAAAGCTTTCCAAAGCCCAATACTGTATGTTGTTCTGATGTTGTTTGAGGTCAAATCTACTGTAAATTCTGGTCATGTTCATCTCTTTATTTCTTCATTTTTCTGTTGCTGGAGCCTCATTCATCCATTCACATTTCCTCATGTTTTTGTCCCCAGGCTCATTGCCACTATGTTGTAGTGAAGCTCTTTACTGACAAGCTGGGGGAGATTGGTGACACGGCGGTACACTCAGTGCTGTCAACTTTGGCTCTGTTCTACACCTTGCATGGTATCACGCAGAACTCTGGAGACTTCCTACAGGTCAGAATAATCAGTATGGTCCCATATGGACAGGTTCATTGTGTGCTTCCATGTGCAAACTGGGGTCTTTGTGTGTTGGATGTGTGCCTTGGTTGCTGGTCTCTTTGTTTGCTGTGTAAGTAATATCAGTTAAACTTAAACTTGAAAATAAAATACAAGACTTCATACTTTAAAGTAATACAGCTTTAATTATCATTGACTGTGCACTATGTCTGCTACTTGTTTCCCCATTGTTTGGACAACTGAATGAGGTTCACCCATTTTCATCCACATCTTCATCTTTTTCTCAGGCTGGACTGCTGAGTGTGCCCCAGGTGATGCTGATTTCTGTCCGTATCAAGGAGCTCCTGTCTCAGCTAAGGCCTAACGCCGTGGCACTGGTAGATGCCTTTGACATCCATGACAAAAGTCTGAATTCAGTCCTGGGACGATATGATGGGAACGTCTACGAGCACCTGTTTGAATGGGCTCGTCGCTCACCCCTGAACTCCACAGAGGTCAGTCAGAGTCACCCCACAGGTAGCAGAGATGGGATTGTTACTTGTCAAAAGTTGTCGCGAAGCATTCCCATAAACCAGCATTTGGTCTAATATAGTGTAAAATTACAGTATGAAGCCCCACTCACAAAAATACCTCCCAGATATCTTCTACATATCTTTAAGTCGATTCTTTTGCTTTTTATAACTGGTCGAGAATGTCGTCAACTCCATTGCTATCTCCTAGGCAACCCAAAAATTCATGTCTCCTACTCACAACGGCTTAAACTAAACAAATTTCATTTATGAGGAAAATTACCTACTGTTTTTGTAGGCCAACTCACTGGCTCATGCTTTAACTTTGGTTCAAAATGTGGCTAATGAGTTTCTGAAAGCTGGAAAACCACTGCTGATATTAGCTACACATCCACTCAGCTACAGGTCAAATTAGTTCCTTCTAAGACACAGAAGAAGGGGGTTGCAGCTTCAGCACTTGCTCCTTTGCACTGTCCTGTGGCATAGAGATGTTAGCATTTCTCTTTAGGTGTCAAGCATTCAAGGGCAATTAGGTTACTGTAACATGCTAGTGGACCTTCTGTAAGGGTTTCTTCATATCAGGCATGCTAAGGAAGAGGTCACATTATGCAGTAACATTTTACACAGCAAAAACTTGAAAATACTGATAATATTTATGTGAAAAGTGTGCATATTCCTTTCATGTCATCTTTCACAAAAGTAAGGGTGGGAAGAATAAAAAAAAACGGAAGTGTGTTTGACTCTTGAAAAATGGATGAAATGTTTAAGGAGATTCCATTTGTCCAGAATACATTAGCTACACCAGCTAATTAAAAAAAAAAGCCCTTGGCAGCCAAAAATGCCAAATGACAGCATGTGACTTCAACAGTAGTGACAAATAATTCTGTCTGACTCTCAATAAATTAGCATCTACAGGTCTTCTTGGATTCTCGGTGTGTGTGTTGCATCTGCTGGCATAAGAAAGCATTTTAATATGGCAGCAGTATTGTTTGGAATGTTGTTTGACACCAGTGTTAATTTCTTTTTTATTATTATTATTATTATTTTAAATGTATATAGCAGTGTAAAAATTGGCTAACAGTGAAAGTCATTTTCACTTCTGTAGGACTTTAATGTTTGAAGTTTTGGGTCATGCTAAGTTTGCCAGTTATGTAGGTCACAGGAATGAAAGATTATTTGAATTACAGTGAAAAGCTTTATTTGGTCACATAGTCAATATTGAGTGCTTTTAATGTACACTTTTGCATTTGAGCACTGTACGGCCAGCCACACTGATGATTCGCCTGGTTTCCATTGTTTCAGCCTAACAAATGCTCCATACTGTCCCTTCCTCCTGTTGCAGGTCCACGAATCCTTCCACAAGTACCTGAAGCCCCTGCGGTCCAAACTGTGAGCTGACCATTGCACCTTTGATTCCTGGCTATGACCCTTCAACTGTACATAGATATACTGTAGGCATAACTTAACTGTAATAACCCATTATATCAATCCTATGATCCTCTTCACTTGTCATCAGCTGGCTTTTACCAGTCTGTCGTAATTGAGCCTTCCCTGCTATACTCACTCTCTCTTTGTGGAGAATTGAACACAACATGTAAACTTTCTGGAGCACTGTAGACAGCAAGCTTGTCATCCTGATGATGGAGGAAATCTAACAAAAGGGTGTAAAACAGGGGCTGATCAACTGTAAACACTATGGATTATTTAGGACAATGTCAACAACCAGGAGTCAAAATTGTATCTTAAAAAAAAAATCTCTAATGATGCTAATATTTTGAGCTTTAATAACACTGAAAAATAATCAGGTGTTACAGTTTCAGATAGGGAAATTCCATTGTAGCTTCTTTCTGTTTCATGTTTCCTCATCTTTTCTCCCAGTTCTGCTACACGCCTGATGGCTGCTCCATGTGAGCCAGTCGAGATGGATTTGCCATCTCTTTTTTTTATAACAAGAACAGAATGATATTATGAGTGTTACATAATGATTGAGTGTGCAAACCAACAGCTAAATCAATTGTGGTTGTATCCCCTGACTACAAGGACCAACATGCTATTTAAAAAGGCACTGCTGTTTCTCATAATTGTCATAAAGAGAGGCACTCATTTATGCTTGATCAGTTGCCATAGGCATCAAGATTTGCACAAGGGTGATGCAGCTTTTCTTTATCACAAATCTGCAGCAACCCCCCAAATACTGCTGACTTAACAAGTGTGTTGTATAGTTTACATTGGATTAACAGCCTATCAAATTACAGCCTTTGAGTTCAGATGTGCTTAAGAGTAATATGAATTTTAATTACTAGTTTTACTATCAGATGCTCACCCCCAGAAGACTTTGTAGAGAACATTGCCTGAGATCTGCTTGGAATGACATCAATCACATTTGTCTCCCTAATTTTTACAAAATCTTTCACTTACTGTTTTACACGAAAAAGGGTAAAACAATGTCCTTTTATCCTCAGTCACAGCATCTGTCAAAATGTTGCTCTGTAAGGAATAATAATATCATACTTGACTGATCAGGGGGCATTTAAACACTTGGAGAAATTCAGCATCATGGGGTGATACATTCCAAATTCCTCACTTCTTCAGTGTCAGGATTACACAGCGGCTTTCTTTTTGTGCTGTGTGTTCAGTCGTGCTTGCACTGTTCTGTGTCCACATGCTTTTGAATGTGTTTTGCAGATTCTGGTGCAAGTGTGTGAAGATAACCTTTGAGGACAGGTAGTATGAACTTCTGAAAGTTAATGAGTGTTGAATGAGGCTACATATGCACTGTTTGTGTGCATTAGTATTTTCCCTCCCTGCTGTGTGGGGTTGATATATTATAACACAGGGTTGCGCCCAATGAGTGAATTGGTCTTTTAGTTTGTAATCAAGCACATTTTGAACTAAACACTCAACTAATTCATTATTAATATGCAGTGATATTTATATATTAGTGACTAAATTGTTCATGTACAACTGGGATTGACATAAGTGCAAAATAGAATTACTTTTTTGAGAATAATGCTTTCCTTTTTTTTTATAACAGTTACACAAAAATGTATATTATAAATTAACTTGCCAAGCAAATGTATAAAATTTTATAGAACAGGTGAATTTGTTCTTGGTTCATCTCAACTTGTAGTAGTTTATTTTTCTCACTGAGGAGAGAAAATGGTACTGAGGCTGATAAATAAAAGTAGCAACTAGTCAAATAAAATTTTGATGTTTAGGATGAAAAGGGAGCGCTTTAGTCTGAAGCCTCCCTGTAAAGATGATTTGTGGGATAAGTATGTGTCTGAGGAATTCATCTTTGCTTAATGAATGTTCTCATAAAGCTCACAGCATTTTACTGCTGTTTTAAACACTTTTACTGGTAGATTTCTGTTGTAAGGGCAGGATTAACAATATGTAATGAATAAACTGTTGGTTAATCATATTTTTGTGCTAGTTTGTCAACATATTTCCTTGAATAATAACAATTTTAATAGTTGGTTGGTAGTTTGACCTGTAAGATATATTAATAAATAAATTAAGCAATCAAACGTGTTGTGTTTGTCTTGATCCTGTGGTTAACCATCTAGAGATTATTTTCAAGCCCACTGTTTCTGGAAAAACGCTGCTTTAGGCCCAGTATTACTAACATGCATTAGTGCTTTCAAGATGAATATACTGGAGGATTGGTGGAACGACATGGGGCTTTTCTGTGTGGAGTTGGCATGTTCTCCCTGTGCCTGCGTGGGTTCTCTCCAGGTACTTCGGCTTCCTCCCACAGTCCAAAGACATGCATCTTAGGTTGATTGGTGACTCTAAATTGACCATAGGAGTGAGTGTCTCAACTGTCTTGGACTGGGCTTAAGAATTCAGCTGTAATCAGTCATGGGTCTGGAGTGTGTAAGGTGCTACTATGGTCAGGATAGTTCAACCACTGTTGCATCAGTCATTTGTGAAAGTGCACTGTCAGATTGCTGGAATATCGCTTTAAGTTTATTTTCACTGTGTACATTGTGAGACAAAAGCGTACAGTACTACATTAAATGCAAAGACAAAGAAAGGATTCGAATCTCACAAGCACCTGAACACATTATTGTGAACTGTAACTAGGCTACATAAACTTTTTACTTTTAAAACCTCTGAATTTTTGTGCAATTTCAAAACTTGATTGGTGTGTGTATATTAAGTTCAGACAGAAATTTAAAGCACCCAGTATTCAGAAAACTATTTAGGTTGGTCATTTCTTGGATGTAAAAATTCAAGCAGGTCAAAAATTGAAGTTGCTGAAATTGGTGAATGTCACCAAACATATCAGTGTGAAGCCATGGATGACAGGTGAGGTTCACAGACTCCTGAGGGCTCAGGATGCAGCCTTTAGGGCCGACGACACCGCAGGCCTAGCAACAGCAAGAGCCAACCTGTCCTGTGAAATCAGGGAGGCAAAATGCCAATACAGCAAGAAACTATCTGGACATTTCAGCAACACTAGAGATACACAGAGTCTCTGGAGGGGTATCCAAACTCTCACAGGCTATAAACCCCCACCTCAGAGCTGTGATAGTGACATCTTTCTGCTGAATAGCCTCAATGACTTCTTTGGCTGCTTTGAAACACAGAACAACACACCAGTACCGAAGACCACCCCTCCCCCGGGCAAGCAGGCAGTGTGTCTGTCCGTAGCCAGCATGAAGAAGATCCTCTCCAGGATTAACCCATGTAAGGTAGCTGGACCAGATAACGTACCTGGTCATGTTTTAAAGGACTGTGCCGAGGAGCTTAAGGATGTCCTCGTGCTTAAGGATGTCTCCTCCTAAACCTGTTATAATGACTATTGGCCTGTAGCACAGACTTCAATTATTATGAAGTGCTTCGAGCAGCTGGTCATGCAGAACGTCAAGTCCATCCTTCCTCCCTCTCACGACCCGTTTCAGTTTGCATACAGGTCAAACAGGTCCACAGAGGATGCCAGAATCAGAATCTACTTTATTGGCCAGGTGTGTCGGACACAGAAGGAGTTTGACTCTGGTACATCGGCTCTCAGTGTGTATGTACATATCCCCATGCAAGGGGCAAGTAAACAGTAAACCAACATAAGGCTGTGTAATATAACAAAAATAATAATTAACAACCAACAACCAGTGTATACAATGCAAAATAAGCAGTACAGACAGGCAGTAAACAATGCAGACAGACAAAGGAATGCTCATTGAAATGAGATAAAAAGGAATAAAAACAGAGTACTTAAAACTAGAGACCTGTACGAATCTGTATAATCTGTACGAGGTATATTTACAGGTATTGCACTGAGGGTTATTGTCCAGTCATACTGTCGTCGGTTAAAGTCTTCATCAGAGTGATGGCCTGGGGGAAGAAACTGTCCCTGTGCCTGGTTGTCTTGGTGCACAGTGACCTCTAACGCCGTCCAGAGGGGAGGAGTTCAAACAGATTGTGTCCAGGGTGTGAGGGGTCAGCAGTGATCCTCTCTGTCCTCCTTTTGACCCGTGAGGTGTACAGGTCCTCCATGGAGGGCAGGCTGGCACCGATGACCTTTTCTGCAGTCCTGACTGTCCGCTGAAGTCTGTACTTGTCCTGTTTGGTTGCTGAACCAAACCAGACAGTGATGGAGGTGCAGAGAACAGACTCATGATTCCTCTGCAGAACTGTATCAGCAGCTCCTGAGGCATTACTGCTGCTCTCCATCCAGCCCTCACCCACTTAGATTCAAAGAACTCTTACGTGTGAATGCTGTTCCTAGACTTCATTTCAGCATTCAACACAATATTCCCCAGCAGCTTACACAAAACTTGGACACTTGGGACTCAAAACCTCTCTCTGCATCTGGGTGCTGGACTTTCTGACAGGGAGGCCACAAAACGTACGGGTCGGTAGCAACATCTCCAAGACCATCACACTGAGCACAGGGGCTCTGCGGGGGGTGCGTGCTCAGCCCATTGCTCTTCACACTGCTGACCCACAACAGCACCAACCACATTGTCAAGTTTGCGGATGACACGACTGTAGTTGGCCTCATTACCAACAATGATGAGGCCAACTACAGGAGTGAGATGTGCCAACAACAACACAAAAAAAACTACCTCTGCTGTTTTACCGTCTGTTATGTTGAATGTAAATCTGCCGCTGACTGTTTTTTTTTTTTGCTGGCATATGCTGCTGTTGGTCATTTCCAATACTGTCCATGTATACCTCATATGCTAGGTGGGTAGGTAGGTAGGTACTTTATTGATCCCTCAATGGGGAAATTTCAGTGTTTGCACCTCATCACCAACAGCCTAGTGATGCTGAACCATCTGACAATCTACTACTATTGTTTGCACTACTGTCACTGAGTGTACACGGTTTTGAGCCACAGCTTATTCGCTGTACTGTTTAGATTTCTCCTAATTACGTCCATGTAGTTCTTATTCTATTCTATTTTTATTCTACTTTATTCTATTTTAGTTCCTAAATGTTATGGCACCAAATACTAGGTGAGAGAGAAACGGTTTTTCGATATTCTGCATGTCCTCCACATATGGTGAATTGACAATAAAATCCTTGAACCTTGAACCTAAAACAAGTTCATTTCACAGTATAGCTCAGTTGCCCATAAAATTGAATTTGGTCATTTCTGTGCAGCTACTGAGTGTCCTATTGTCAATAGCGAGTTATTTTCAAGACAAGTGTGTACAATTGGACACGCCGGGCGTTGGAGGGGTTGGACCGGGCCCAGCTCGTCCTCTGTGATTAAGTCCTAACTCCGCCCCTGCCCCCTCCGTGGAGCTCCACTGTAGGATGTTGGAAGGGAGGAAGAGGGAAGTAGTGGCGACACGCCGGTGGATAGAAGCCTACAGTATCGTATCATTTCGGACATATACTTTCTGCTAATGAATAATAACCCACTTATATCGCTTTGGAGGTGAGTACAGTAAGATTTTTCAGACCTTAAGCTGCATCTTGGAAAGTTTCTGGAACGTTAAAAGTTAACCTGTGTGTGGGTCTACGGTTACTATCGTCTTTAAAAAAAAATTTAAACGTTTAATATCTCAAAATCACCGTTTAAGTAGTCAAACAAAGGGCGCTTCAATGTTAGGTGCATAGCTTTGCCTTTTACAGATGACAAATAACAGACTGCGTTAGTGACAGTAACCGTGTTTGCTCTAACGTAACGTTAGCGTTGGGCGAACCGTTGAAAGCAGCGTGTCCCGGCAGGCCTTTTGTTGCCCTGCCCGCCGGGACAGAGTTCGATATTCCCACGTTTCCCTCCTTAAAGTTTATTATAGTCACCATATGCCGCCACTTGCTGCTACACCCCTCCTTTTGTTTGTCAAAGAATTTGGGAGGAACCGCGTTTCCCCCAGAATTAAATGACTCTGATGGTTCTGAATTATGAGAGAAACCACATTTTTAAAGGTTACACTTTAGAAAAAAGTGAAACCTTTCTGTTGTTGTGTAGCCAATCTCTGTGGTGACAAAGGTCGGGTGAGCCATTAAATTGCTGCTTTAAAGTTGCTCCAGATGCGTCACTGTCCTTACAATTAACCTCCGCCTCCTGTAGAGTTACCGCACATCTAGTTTTGTTTACTACCGCTTTTCAGAAGGGTCTGGTGAAGACAACACCTTGTCTGTATTTTGCCTTGGTTTGAGGCAGAAGTATGTGTAGGAGTGTAAATGGCAGCACCTGTTTATGCAAACCTATTGGAATCATTTCTAAGGAGCTGCCAGTTAAGATGGGAGGAAATGTAGGTCAGTGTTACTCAGCACAGTTTACCTCTGATGACACCAGTTAACTTCTGATGAAATGAGATGTAGCTGATTGTAAACAGAAAAGTGGTGTGTTGAGCTGAGGTGACAGTATAGAATACTGTTGTTGATTTTTTAAAGTGGAAATCTAATGTACTTGTGTTTGAGCTTGACGTGTATGTGTTCCATGAACGAATGAAAATAACCCTACTCCCAACCCTGGAAATGATCCACAAGGATCAGAGGTGGACATTGTGGACAAAACTATAGCTGCAGTAATTATGACTGTAGTGTTTGACTCATATTTACAAGTATTCATTATGTCTTCAGAAAAACAGAGACATGTTTAAGCCATTGATGTTTGCTCTTAGTGTTTTGTTTGAGAATTATAAGAAGAGGAGCAGTCTTTTATGCTCGTTACTCTAAATACGCTTGTGGAGGGGAAGGTGCTAGTCACACATTGCCACTAAATATAACTGCAAATGAATCATGGGACTAGTCTCTCTGTCCAGAGATCGGGTCGTCGGGGGCC